GAAAGAGTCTGACTCCAGGGATGCGAGCCATGTGAAAATTTTAATATGACAAGGAGAAAATATGAGTTTAATGTACCGAAGCCCAAAGCTTCTGTAAGGAAGCAGATTGCTGAATCAGTTGCTAAACAAAAACCTTCATTTCATTTCACTGTTGTTAGTCTAGTCCTCTTTTTTATCTGAGTATTCAAGCTTCCTAGGAAGTGCCTGCTTTGTGCTAACAAAAGGCCTATATTCTTCGTCAGTCTTCAGAGGAGACTATCTTTCCTATCTTCTGATCAGAAATTCAATAAAAATCCCTGCATGTTATTCCCAAGATACCACTTTGTATTTTCTATAATATCAAGTTAATTTCCCTAGCTTTAAAATGCATAAGCTATCTCCTTACTGACTAAAGCACACTTTGTTACAATTTGGGGTCTTATTTCCTCTATATTGCGACTAAGGCAATAAACGCAACATTGTCAAAGTGCTGGTACAGTTCTGGAAACGAATCTGTGTTTCCCTTTATAATTAGGATGTCAACAGTTACAGCTAGCAGGGTGGATAAGCTAAGACCCATATTCCAGGGAATCTACCCTCTGCAATTGGAGTGGTTGGAAAAAGAGGTAACCTCTGCAGGTAAGTAAATTCATAACCTGTTCCACTGAAGCACCTGAACCCGGCACAGATTAGAGGTAAGGTACTAACACAGGGACACCAGCGGTCTGCTCAGGTATGGCTGTCCTGTTCCACAGGGACTCATCCTCACTTAGCACCTGGCAGGTGGAAGTCTGCAAGACTCATGCTATATCTAAGAACACGAGGCCCACTCTGAGTCCCACTGCCAGTGGAAGTACTCTCACTGACAAGAAGGGGAACTGGCCCAGGCCTTAAAAAAATCATATCTGATCCTTAGGGTACCCCTGTTTGAGGGTCATTCATTACATCTGCACTGCAGAATGGCTTCTTCACATCTCTTCACTAATACCCCAGCTTCCACAGCACACTGTGCAAGATCGCTTTTTGCTTGTGATAGTTTAGGCTCAAGAATGCACCTTCTTTACAATGTAAGGGAAGAATTAAAGCACCATAAGTGATTCAGGCCTAAAAGGAAAGTGAGACTTACAGGTACCTGACTTGATAGACTCAGGTTTGCAGCGGCTGACTTTTTCTTGCTGTTGGTACTATTTGCGTTGTTCCCAGCACTGCTGTTGGAAGTGCTGCTGGTAGAATTTTTCCTTTTTCTCCGTTTGGTTGTTGGTTGTCTTGTGGGTTCTGCTGCAATAAAATGGTAAGAAGGAAAGCAAATGGCAGGTATTTTAAAGTGTGCACTAAAATGATCCATAAGCAAAAGTGCTGAAATATTTTTTCATTTAGTTTTAAGTTTCTGTGTTTACTACTAGTAGTAGTAGATTTAACATATGAACCATGTAATAATATTTGGACCCAAACCAACAGAACCTGCTTTCAATTTTATATAATGGAATAATGAAGCTTATTCTCCCAGCACTATCTATGAAGATATTTAAAAGCATTTTACCAATGGGAATAACATGATAACTATCATGATGCTCAAAATGATCATGTAACTTGCTGAAGGTCACATAGCAAGCAACAGTGCTAACCAAATTCCTGGTCTTATTCTGATGTAGGCTACAGCCTCAGCTGACCCATCCAGAGGCAAAGGCTGAAGGTAGCTTTGTACCCTTCTGCTGCCATCAATGCAGCATACAAGGAACTACCATTTGAGTCCTTCTGCCTCTGATGTGGGCTTCATCTTTAAAACTGCCACTCCCAAGAGAAAACGTTAAGGCATGCTGAATGCCACTTGTCAGCGAGTCTTCAAACTCAGACCAAATCAGGACAATTACATAACTTTGCTTAAATAGGCAAGGAACAGAGGGGCAATTGTGCTTCTCAAGATTTGGCCTGAGCACCCCTGTGAATAGTCTTAGATATAAAAATCTTTAATAATCTGAAAAAAGAGAGAATTATTATTTTGAGGTGTAAGAGGAAGGAGATTAGGTCCAGGCCTGTAAATAACATTATATTAGTCTCAAAGACAATTAATTATGAATTGTAGCTGTAATTTCAGAGTCACAGCAGGAAGCTGAATTACACAAATGATGAATTCTAATGGAGCCAGTAGGCATTTTGCATTCCATCTACACATATTTTTGTACTAAATTATATCCTAGTCAGTGAAACCATCTGAATGTGCACATCTATAAATCACTTGGGTCAGACTGAAATCATAAAACATCAGAATCATTTTCAGGCTTACTTTTGGAACAGTGCTAATTCTTACTACTTTTCTTTGTAAGTAATATTCCGCATTGTTTCTATATTAATTTAACTATAAAATCGGTAAAACACTAGAAATGAAACATACCTGGTGGGGCCACCATTCTCTGCCATTTTTGAAACAAGCAAGTCTTCAAGCAGTCTCGAGGACTTAGATTGTAAGTTTTATGTCTTGACATCAGTTCCTGCATTGGCTCCAGTATTACACACAACTGGAAGAAAAAGTCAGAATAGAATGATTTCATCCAAGCAAAGACTCAGCTGATCAGTGTTTACATAGCTGGAAAGTATATTTTTGGCTTTTTTTTTACCCTTGCTAACAGAGGTACCTTGTATGCCTCAGTTTAATGTGCTCTGGCATTGCCGGATCAAAACTGAATTGAGGAAAAATTTTACTCACTACTTGCTATCTTAAATATTAAAAACTAATAATTAAAAAATCAGATAAACTTCAACTCTGGTCTTCCTGACTGCAGAGATTTCAGAAGAGTAGAAAATGTTCATGCTTGATTGCCAAAGCTGCAAAGATGTATTAATAAATAATAAAATGCCCATAGTGGGTTATCATTCCCATGCAGCAAAATGTACACACACTGATCTTCTTCTGACCTGGTGCACTCCACATGAAGACTTCTCATAAATGATCTTTTATCTTGTTATTGCATGTAAAATAATTCAAATAATTTTGTTCCTTTGCTATGAGGACTATACATTCTCTTTCCATCACATGAATAACATGTCCGAGAAAAAAGAGAAGCATTTTATTTTCCTTGTCAGCTTGAACGCTCTATTGTGTGAAAGCTGGAGATTTCTGAAAACATGGAATTCAAGCAAACACCTTTTTTAAATAGTCTTGTATATTTTATATCCGTTCACTTAATTAAAATCACTGTTCACTGCTTTCTGCTCCTGTTAGCACAGCAGATCTAGCATAAAAAACAGTGAGCTGGTTTCTATTCCCTCCTGTTTATCACCACAGAATCATTTCCAGTCAGTTAAACCTTACACAAAGCCACAGAAGACTACAGAATTGCACGCATGTAATTGAAGGCTTACTCTTGCTTGCAGGATCCTTGGGTTTTGGTCATCCTACATGAGAAGAAAAAATCCAGGTTGATTTTGAACCCTGAAATTTGCAGGCCTGGCATAAAGGCAGAAAAGGTTCCTTACTTGCTAACTGAGCACCTTTGATAAGAAAATAGCTGACACAGAATAAACATGGACCCTGCATGCTTTTTTTAGTCCCTTTTCAAAGAAGAACCTCATCTAGAAGCAGGAGAAAGTTTGGGGGTTTTTTACCAACAGAAGTAAGGCAACAAGTTGGTTCAATTATTAGAACTTGGAAAGGCAACTGCAGAAAGGCATAACTTAAACGCAGTCCTGTTTTGAGTTATTTACTTAATTTTGTCAAGTCTTCCTGAAGGAGCATCATGGATTTACTTCAGCAGGCGATGTTTCCATTTCATGTTTTTACAAATATGTAAGACATGAGGCAAATTCTTCTCTCTGGGTTGCAGAGCCAATCAGTGTTTGCTCCATTCTCCCCGTGTGCACTCTACTCTCATTCATATAAATGGAGATGCAAAGTATGCAGAGAAAATAGCTGAAAGGGAGCTGCTATAAGGACTAAGAGATTAACTCAGCATTTAAATATTATTATGTATTGGCACTGCCTTTTGATGAGCCTTTCATTAACAGCAGTTAAAATAGAGATAACATAAAGCAGCAGGGAGAATGAAGAGCTTCAGTATGAGGAATTGTTTTTTCCAACTGCAGAAATCGAATCTGCAGTTGCCTCATTGACTTTTTTCTTACACAGACTTTTTACATATACTTTTGTAGACAAATATCTGCAAGATAATCTAATAGAAAGAAAGCTGCTAACAGACTGTGCACTTCGGGCTCAGATTTTCCTCTGGTTCAATATACTATCAAGAATTAACAGCATCAGGTCCTAAAGTATGTGCAGGACCCAGCTTATGCTGTGAAAGAGGTGTTGTATTTTGTGTTCTAATTCAATTTATTCTGAAACCTGCAGGCACTTGCTCAGGTTTTGTGTGTGTTTGTGTGAGAGAGCGATTTGTGATCATAATGGACATCATTGTTTTGGTTCTCAAAAGTCTGGGTTCTGGCAGGGCTGCCTAAATTGTCTCATTATGAAACGATAGTAACTAGCACGAAAAAGCTAGCTGTGATAATTCGTAAACAAACTAGTTAGCCAGGACAAAGCAGTACACTCACGTAGCTCTACCACTGCTGGGACTAGAAGTATGTAAATACACATGTAGGGTCTTCCAAGATTTCCTTAGGGATACTTTATACATGACACATTTACTCCTTTGTATATATTTATTGTTGGCAACAAAGAGAATGTTTTTTCTTTATCATCTGGCAAAGATGTTTCCTATTGTGCTCTAACTGTAATGCACACTGAGGAGTACTATGCAGTCCTTGCTGCCTGTAGATATCTTGAATGCTAATCCTGTCTATAATATCTCTTCACACACATGATTAAAATGGGATAAAGACCCAAAATGTAGCAATGTCTGACTGATCTCACAAGCATGGATTCAAAGTGAGAAGCACTGGGGCCCCTATACTAAAGCACAGGACGGTCTCATTTTCTGGATATCTGGGAGGTATATGGACTCATATAAATCCCTCTTCTGATTTTGGGGGTTTCACAACCATTTCTCTTTCTAAAGTCTGTGAATTGTAAGGTCAGCTTTAGATGCCTGAATAATAGGAGGGCATTGCACTCTATAGTGGCAAGTTCATTTTAAATGTGTCCGGCTCATGTGAATTGGGCACAAATGGAAAATGAACTGGATTAACAGTTATTGATATTAAATCTCACCGTCTTTTTCAGTGACCTTTGAGACCTACTTGAAATCTAAAGTGACTCAAAACCGAATCCCTGAAAGAGGAAGATATCATCTAAGACTAATTATCTTAAGTCTGAGGAACCTGCCTGTGACAATCAGTAGCTTGGTTTTTGCAAAAAACTAGATTAAAAATGTGGTGACAAGATGCATGTAAAGAGTTAGATTGGCCAAAACCTTATTCTGTGAGATTCCTTTTCAAAACACCTATTTTAACATTTTTGCAAGAATTGGATAATATTAGGATGTACAAGTCTTCAGTACTATAATAATAGTATTTGGAACACCAACAAAACCAATCTCTTCTACAAGAATTTTCTGCACAGCTCAAACAGTCACCCAGGAAAATACCCTAAAGACTTAAAAACTTTAGTGCAGTGATGAAATATGATCACAGAAATAATTTCTACATTTCTAGGAACCCAGAACCTTTAATGGTAACACTTGACAAGATGCAGTTAGGTATTTCCAAGCTCCATGTTTGGCTATCACAAAAGGGGGGACTCATTTGTCCACACTTGTCTAGCACCAGGTGAAATGCCCTAGGTTATACTGGATCTGATCCATCTGATCGCTTTTACTGTCTCAGAGGACACAAGGCTCCATGTGGATGTTTCAGGCACTAGAAAACATCTTAAGCGTGTGGGCAATTGAAAGAAGCCCAAAGTTAAAAGAAGAATTATTCTTCTTTTAGCTTTTAAAAAATATTTGGAAGAATGTGTCTCACAACAGATTATATACTTTCCCTCCACAGACCTAAAACCTACTGAATGAATTTCACATGATGCTTAGTAACCCAATATTATTAAAATTAGTTTTATTATTAGTTTTTTATTTGAACTCATCACAATGATTTCTGACCATTACTGCAGAATCACTGCTGTTTCACTGCCACAGCTGTGAGGTGGATCCAGCACTAGAGATGAACACAGCGCCATACAGTGAGACAAGTCGCTGGCATGAGAAATTTGTATTTGCGGATGCCTGGTATACACTGGGACACATGCACACATTTTGGTGCTGTATAGAATGTCAGGGATTTTGCTAGAGTTCCATATGGATCCTATGGACAATTCATCAATTACAGGGCTTGGATCCAACTTGAGAAAATAGTAATGTTATACCCTCGGGGCTCAGGGAAGTGAAAGTAGGGAACACAATAAAGCACATGGTTCTTTGTGTTAGTAAAACACATCTGGAAGGATTTGACTTTTTTTCTTAATGATTTTTTTTTTTTTTTTGGGAGGCGGAGACTAACATTTCAAAATGTTTCAGAAAGACTGTGGTTCAAAAAGGGATTTATATGAGGAGATACTGGAGGCATTGTAGACAGGAGTTGGAGGGTTCTGAGAATATGGATCCACACGTGATTTCATGTTATATTTCAGTTATCAGCAGAGCCAAAAGCAGCCTTCAGAGGCAGGAGGGGTCAGATTCAGCTCTGAGATCACCCCAGTCACACCAAGAACAGTTTAAGCCTTACGATTTTTGTTCTAATGACAGGTTTCTATCCTTTTCTGAGAACAGGTGCTCATTCTGGTAGCAGTGAAGATTAGCAGGAAGACCAAGGCAAAATCTATCTTTTACCTTACTTTTGCATATCCTAATCTTATGTATTCTATTGCTAATTTAATTAGCAATTACCCTCTTCAGTGAAATCTCGTCTCCATGAGATTTTTGTTTCCAGAAGCGAAGGTTTGTTATAGGGTTGGTGAAGGCGTTGCAGTTCTGCCGGCTCTGAGCTGCAGGTGGCAGAGCTAGCCCAGCTAACTGTCTTCCCCTGCTTACATGCCACTAGCACAAAAGAACTGCAGCCTTTCAGCTTTTTCCATGCCTTTTGCATTTTAAAGAGAATTCAGTGCGACTCGAGTCTTGCAATACGTAAAAACTAAGACTGACATAGTCACCAAGCCAGTCTCTTTAAAGCAGAGAATATATCTGGTCAGTAAGTGCTGGGCAGCTGGAATCCTAATGTCTACCAAAAGAAGCAAGTTTGAGAACTGTATCTTCCCACGGTTACCAGTTTTGTCTGTATAAGCAAAAGTTTCACTAACCACAATTAAAAAAAAAAGAAAAAGGAATTAGCTAAAATTTTCACATACATTACACTTAAAAATGTGAATGTATAATGTAACATCAGTTTTTCTGCATGAAAGCAGCAGGGCACCTGACAGCAAAGAGAGTCTTCCGCAAAGTTTTTACTGAAATTTAATTTTAACTCTTTGATGCTTGACACTTCTCCTGATTCAATCACTTGAAAACTATAGGAACTGTTGCGTGATCAGAGCTCAGAGAGATTTACAGCCCTTCTTAAAAGTGACAAAACCCCAT